CACAAAAACCTCCATACACAGATTTCTTTTTATAGCAACTTTATTTGTAATCACCAAAACCTGGAATTGACTAAGACATTCTTAGCAGATGAATGGGTAAACTGAGGTACATCCAGACACTGGAATATATTCTGCACTAAAAGGAAATGAACCATGAAGCCATGAAAAGGTATGTAGGAACTTTGATGTATTGTTGTTTCTAAGTGAAAGAAGCCAAACTGATGTAAATTCCAACTACAGGACATTTTAGAAAAGGCAAATCTACAGGGGCAGTAAAGGGATGGGTGACTGCCAGAATGACCGGCAGGGCACAGAGGCCGTTCAGGGTGGTGATACTACTGATACTATTACCAGTGTTGGATACTTGTCGTCACACACTCGTCCGAACCCACAGAAGGTACAACACTATGGACTCTGGATGTGTCAATGTAGATTTATAAATTCTAACAAATGTATGTACCACTCTGGTGGGGGATGCTGCTAATCAGATAGGCCATCCCCGTGTCGGGGCGAGGGTAGGCAGCAAAGCTCTGTACTTTTTTATTAGTTTTACTGTGAATTTAAAGCTGCTCCAAAAAATAAAATTAATGTTTAAAAAAATTATACCAAGATTTTACAGCAGTGAAGTAAAAAAGATAATACCATAAAGTAAAAAAAAAAAAAAAAAAGCTTTATGGTGCTTAAGTAATTTTCATTGCGTTTGCACAGGTAGGAAGCACGTGGTATGACCTGCTCAGCTACATCCGCAAGGCCTGAGATGGCTGAGATCCTCTTGGCCAGAGGGCAGCAAAATTAACTGGGAGAAGACACTGGCTTTCTTAAATCAATCACCATCACTAATCATTATTTTTGCCGATGAAAGCTGATAGTTCCTGCTTTTTCTAAATTACTTTAGTAACATAATTCTCCCCTAAGAACTGGACCATTATACTTACTTTGTCTCCCAGAACTTGGAAATAACCAACATTTTCTAACTTTGGGGCATCTTAACACAGGCAGCTAATTTGGTATACGGAGCACAGATGTCTCTCTTTAGCCAACAGCCTGGAATAAGAGTCTGCGCTTAGTTCCTCTTGGAGTTCACTGGTGAATTAGGAGAAAGGTCTTGCTGTAGCCTAATCAAAGGCAGCAAAGGCTACACACAGCCCAGAGATGAAAAGCAGCCTAGCCGCTTTCCCACATCACCTGAGGCGGGCGGGGGGAGAAAAGCAAGCAAGCGTATTTCAAGACCACAAAGACAGAACGTCATGAAAGGGGACGGCGCGTGTGGTGGAAAGCGCTGGCACGGCTGTGGTTCCTGCAGCAAGTTACTGAGCCTCTGCACCCAAACTCCTCATCCAGCACAGCAGTCATAAAACTCACCTGTAGAGGTCAACTGAGCTCACAAGAAAATGCTACACACAGTGTAGCAATGTGGGACGCCGTAAGGAAGAAGACGGTGTTAAAACCCTACACCAGTGAGGTTCAAGGTACATGGCCCTGCCTGCCTGGGAACACTGGGAGTGAAGGAGGAAAAGAAAGACAAGAAATACAGGACCATATGAACAAACACAATAGGATCTTTGTGCAACTGAAAAGAACAAAGGTGTGTCCAGGAAGTCCCAGGGAAAAATTGATCAAGATAAACCAAATCAACAGGTGACCTGTAACTTCTGATTAGAGGAAGAGATGGGGTTACTGCAAGAGGAACGTTTTACAATCACTCGTCATCATCAAATAGGTTGCTTTTATTTAAAAAGTCTACCTCCTCCACCATCCCCTTGGGAGATATGTGGTATAACACACCAGTGAGGGACTGACTGCAATAGTGACCCTAATTTTTCACAATTTCTCCCTTCCCTATCCCATTGGAAAGAGGCTGGCCTTGAAGCTTGCTTTGGCCAACAGAAGGCTGCAAAGCTGATGTCCCAGGAGCAAGCCTAAGCATCAAGAAGGCTGTGTCTTTCAGCTCTCCCTCTTGGAATCCTGCTAAGGTACCAGGTGCACAAGCCTGGGAAAGCCTGCCAGCGGCTGAGAAACCACAGGGATCAGACTTGTGGCAGCCTACTTGTCCCAGTCGATGCCCCAGAATATACGAGAGCCAGGTCAAAACCACCCATCTGACCTGTTGCTGACCACAGATACATGTTATAACAGCCGAGCCTAGAAGGACTGCCAGGCAAACCCAAAGACTCACAGCAAAAATAAATGGTTATTATTCTAAGCCACTAAATTTTGGTGTGGTCTGTTCAACAGCAAAGCGAGCTGATACAACACCCTTTGAGGAAACATGGTTCTGAACCAAAAACTTCTATGTAGTGTTTAGCTTCTATTTTAAGTCACGTAAAGTCACACCTCATTTTGTGAAAAAAGTGCTTTATGTGGAGTCTACACTTACCATCGCTTTTTCCATCCTGCTGAGGGTATGAGTTGTAGAACATTCCCTTCCCATCATGCGTCCAGGCCATACAGCTGAACTTGACTCTTTCAAGCACATCTGGAAGCTCTTTGGCACCATCAACTTTCATGAACTTGATTGTCACCCAGTCTGAGCCACTGGCACTCAGACCATAGGCAAAGTATTCCCCATCTTCACTGAATGCATAACCTAGGGTCGCAGGAGCACTCATTAGATGATGAACACAGACACTCACCTTTTGTCCCTGCCAACTGCCCGTGACACTGTCTGACACATGGAGGCAGAATGTGGTGACAAAAGCAACAGAAAACCAGTAGTGGGGACTCCTGGGGGCTCAGCCCACACCTTATAGGAATTACCCACATGATCTCGGACAAGCTTCCAAATCTCTCTAGGTCCTAGTTTCTTCCTCTATAAAAGGAATTGAACTATATGCCCTCTAAATGCTTCCATCTTGTTTTCTTTCTTTCTTTTTTTCTTTTGAGACAGGATCTCACTCTGTCACCCCAGCTAGAGTGTAGTGGCATCATAGATGACTGAAACCTCACACTCCTGGGCTCAAGTGATCCTCACACCGCAGCCTCCTGAGTGGCTGAAATTACAGGTGCCTGCCACCACACCTGGCTAATTTTTCTACTTTTCATAGAGATAAGATCTTGCTCTTGCTTAGGCTGGTCTCAAACTCCTGACCCCAAGCAATCCGCCCACCTCAGCCTCCCACAGTGCTAGCATTTGGTATTTTTATAATTCAATAGCAGTTCAGTGGAAAGCAGAGCTCCTCTGGGACTTTCGGCATATTTTATTTATACTCGAAAGGGAGTAAGAGGAAAAAGGAAACTGCTTTTAGAGTCAGGGCTGAATTATGACACCTGCCATACAACAGAACTAAACTGTAGCCATTAGGTAACTTTTGGGACAGATTCCAAACTGTCTTTGCAACCTCATTTTCTTTTTTTTTTTTTGGCTGGGGCTGGGTTTGAACCCACCACCTCTGGCATATGGGGCCGTGCCTTACTCCTTTGAGCCACAGGCGCCACCCGCAACCTCATTTTCAAACCATTACTGGCCTTCAAGAATTAAAGTCCATACATCAGACCACCACAGGCCCAGGTAAATACAGCCTGAGGGTTTGCAATGAAGGCTCCCAGCACGCACGTTTCAAAAGTGATCAGGAAAAGGAAAATAAATGTTGTCTACAGACTGTTATGCCACATCCAATTCTTTAGGGCCCTGAAAGAACTCTTATCACCTGGAATGTTTCCTGACAAACACATGTTGTATATTAGCTTTATTTTTTTTTTTTTTGAGACAGAGCCTCAAGCTGTCCCCCTGGGTAGAGTGCCGTGGCATCACGCTCACAGCAACCT